AGTAGCTGGGACTACAGGCGCCCGCCACCATGTCCGGCTAATTTTTTTTTTTTTGTATTTTTAGTAGAGACGGTGTTTCACTACGTTAGCCAGGATGGTCTCCATCTCCTGACCGTGTGATCTGCCCATCTCGGCCTCCCAAAGTGCTGGGATTACAGGCGTGAGGCACCATGTCCGGCCACACAGTTTCTTTTTCCCTCTTGTGGGATGGTAGAGGGTGGCCATAGAATCAAGTTCTTTGGGTTCCTTTAGTTATTTGACAATGTTTTCTGTTGGACTTTTCTTTCTTTCTTTCTTTCTTTTTTTTTGAGACAGAGTCTCGCTGTGTCACCTAGGTTTGGATGCAGTGGCATGATCTCAGTTCACTGCATCCTGGGTTCATGCAATTCTTATGTCTCAGCCTCCTGAGTTGCTGGGATTACAGGTGTACGCAACCAAGCCCGGCTACCCACATTACTGTTTCCTTTACATGGACTTACTGTTTTGTGTAAAGGAAAACTTGGAAAGTCTTGTATTCCTAGTTTGGTGTGTTCATCGTGTTTTCATATTCCATAAATGTACAATAGCGAAATAATAAATGTTTACCCCAGTGCCTCATAAAACTGGTTCCCGTCCCGCATTGCACTTTGAGAAGTGGTGCTGTAGATGGAGGGTCGAGGAGTCGGGGGGCAGTCGTTCTGAGAGTGCTCTGGCCCCTTTGACTGAGAGAGACAATGCCCTTCCCAGGTGCGGCTCTATGAGTGGACAACAGAGAAGGAGCTGCGCACTGAGTGCAACCACTACAACAACATCATGGCCCTCTACCTGAAGACCAAGGGCGACTTCATCCTGGTGGGCGACCTTATGCGCTCAGTGCTGCTGCTTGCCTACAAGCCCATGGAAGGAAACTTTGAAGAGGTGATGCTGGTGGGGGGATGGGAGCAGACTTCTTTCTTGAGCCATGGCCCCTGCAAGTGTCTCTGGTGGGGAAGGATAATCCAGCCGAGTATTAGGGGCAGAAATGTTTTCTGTGGAGCAGACATTCTACCTTGATTAAGTATTTTTAGAGACTCCCAACTCGAACTCTGAGTAGGCTCCATCTCTGGGCAGTTGGCAATCAAATGGGCTGCGTTGGCAGAGAGGTCGGGGGAGAATCCCTCTAGGGTGACACTTGTTGAACACTGGGCTACATCTTCTGCAGGGTGGGGCCTTGCTCCTGAATAAAGGAAACACAAGTCCCAGAACTGGATTCCATGCAAACTTCTGATTGTGTTTTCTTGTTTCACCTTGTCTGTTTTAAGATTGCTCGAGACTTTAATCCCAACTGGATGAGTGCTGTGGAAATCTTGGATGATGACAATTTTCTGGGGGCCGAAAATGCCTTTAACTTGTTTGTGTGTCAAAAGGACAGGTGAGTAGTGGCCAGCTCTGGGAGTGGTGGGGAGGTTGGGAGCTCCCGGGTCTCTGGTGGATACAAGCATTGGGTTCTGTGTCAGGTTCAGGTGCTCCTCTTTACAGAGATAGCACTTTCTTCGTGAGAGAGTAAAAGGTGACAGAAATCCACCTCTTTAGATTGGCTCCCCTACTGTGGAGTATGTCAGCTTCCCAGGGAAGTTCAGCACCGTGACCACTGCACGTGGTCCTGTCTCAGGGCCTGTGGTGGAAACAGGAGGTTCAGAAACTTACTTTCTCACCACCTTTCAGCGCTGCCACCACGGACGAGGAGCGGCAGCACCTCCAGGAGGTTGGTCTTTTCCACCTGGGCGAGTTTGTCAATGTCTTTTGCCACGGCTCTCTGGTAATGCAAAATCTGGGTGAGACTTCCACCCCCACACAAGGCTCGGTGCTCTTTGGCACGGTCAACGGCATGATAGGTAAGGTTACCCCCGTGGGGCATACCCCCACACAGGCCTCCTTCCTGATACCACCATTCTGAGGGACTGGGGAGAGCAACTGGATAAGACCTAGGTGTTTACTAGAGGAGGCTGCAGCACATTAGCCCTCCCCGAGCTGCTCGCCTGGGCTGCCCTTTACGTAGAGGATGCGTGCTGTGAGGTTGACCTCCCTGCAGCTCACTGCCTCCTTCACTTCTTCAGGGCTGGTGACCTCACTGTCAGAGAGCTGGTACAACCTCCTGCTGGACATGCAGAATCGTCTCAATAAAGTCATCAAAAGTGTGGGGAAGATCGAGCACTCCTTATATCCTTCCCAGAGCCATCCCCTTGCTGGGAAGCATGTCCCGGCATATGTGGCACATGGAGTCACATTACCTGGAAGCTGCTACATGTCTTGATTAGGTTCCTGTACAGAACAGGTTTTTTGTTTTGTTTTGTTTTTGACTTTTTCATGTGGAAAATTTCAAACATACACAATAGAACAGTATAGTGACTCCCAAAGCACTTATCACTCAGCTTCCGCTGGTCCATCTTGGAAATGCACGTTTATATTCCTGAAATGTGTCCGCCTCTGGCCCTTGGTGTAGCAGGTGAAATGTAAGTTTAGATCACAACACAGGAGCACATCCTTTCAGGGATTTGGTTGAGGGCAACAGTGTCTGAGACTAGAGAGACTACCAGAAGAAAGGGAAAGGTGAAGAAGCGGAAAACGCTGAAGCGCAAGAATTTACCACCCTGGGACCCCCAGAATCCAAGTGCTATTGGAAGTTGGTTTAGTATAGGAGATATAAAGGGCCCTCCCTGCCCCCGCTGGAGGTCGGAGGAGCTCCTGCCTATGACTCTGGCCCGGCTCTAGTCAAGGAGGGCTAATGGGCTGATTTATTGTTTTTTGCTAACTATCAAGACTTTTGGCAGCCCTGTCTCACTGAATCTCAGTTTATTCATCAAGGGAGCTGCTGCTTTTCTTCTTTTTTTTTTTTTTTTTTTTTTTTTTTGAGATGGGTTCTTGCTCTGTTGCCCAGGCTGGAGTGCCGTGACACGATCATGGCTCACTGCAACCTTGACACCCTGGGCTCATGTGATTCTCCCACCTCAGCCTCCCGAATAGCTGGGACTATAAGCACATGCCTCACCTGGCTAATTTTAAAAAATTTTTGTTTTTTGTAGAGACAGGAGTTCATGGTGTTGCCCAGGTTTGGTCTTGAACTTTTGGACTCAAACGATCCTCCTGCCTCAACCTCCCAAAATGTTGGGTTCACAGGCGTGAGCTGCCACCACACTGACTCCTCTATGAAGCTCTGAGGCTAGACTTATACAAGTGGTTTTTGTGCATCAGCTTTGCCTAGAGCACGTTTAAAGAACTTGCATACACGTATGGTCTTCACATTAATAGACTCTGATCTGTACTTTTAAAAACTTTTGAAGATCACCCCAATTGAGAACCAATTAGATTAGGTCATATTTTTACATTTTTTTCAATTCCAAAAATGTCCAAAAAAAACCAAGGCGAAAGGAAAGTGTCATTTCCTTTTGAATCCTGATGATTGCTTTTAGATTGTGGTCTTATTCAAAGGTGGGGATGACTGAGGAAGGTGTTTCCTGATAAGCACATGTTCCTTAACTCACCCGTCCACCTGGAGATCCTTTCACACCGAGCGGAAGACAGAACCAGCCACAGGTTTCATCGATGGTGACTTGATTGAGAGTTTCCTGGATATCAGCCGCCCCAAGATGCAGGAGGTGGTGGCAAACCTACAGGTGAGCTGTGTGTTGTTTAGCCCTGGGCCGGACAAGTCCGGTGCAGGTTGGGGCATGCCAGGAGACTGTCTCTGGGCACCTCTCCCCCTCAATTCCAAGGTGCGAGGGGCCCTCTGTGTAATCCTTACCAGATAGAAGGTGGAGTCTGAGGGAAAAGAGATGTTTGTAGTTGTGGCTTGTGGGTATCTACTAGGTACCAGATGCTGTGCTAGTAACTCTACCCATGTTAACCCCATCCTTGAGCAATGAAGACACATCTGGGATCTCTGGCAAGACCCAAAGGTAGGAGGCAGGGTCAGGATCCTGTAGGGAGGAGAAATGGCCACTATTCTGGAGTTCAGGATATTGCTCACTGGAGATGGTGTCTGAGGGACAGCAGAAGAGGGAGAATCTCGAAGAGGGAGAAATAGACCAGGTGGTGTCCTTGCTGACCTGTACCACTCAGGGGGAGGTGTGGGTTTCTGGTGAGTCCTTTCTCTGCCATGACGATGGTGGAGTCTTGTGCCTCCTTCACTGGGGGCATTCCCTTCCCCAGCTGTGGGTGAGCGCCCTCTTGGTCCTCACAGCCCCGCCCGTCTTCTCATTGCAGTATGACGATGGCAGCGGTATGAAGCGAGAGGCCACTGCAGACGACCTCATCAAGGTTGTGGAGGAGCTAACTCGGATCCATTAGCCAAGGGCAGGGGGCCCCCTTTCTGACCCTCCCCAAAGGCTTTGCCCTGCTGCCCTCCCCCTCCTCTCCACTATTGTCTTCTTGGCCATGGGAGGCCTTTCCCTAAGCCAGCTGCCCCCAGAGCCGTAGTTCCCCTACGTGGAAGTGGGGCGGGCTTCATAGAGACCTGGGAATGAGCTGAAGGTGAAACATTTTCTCCCTGGATTTTTACCAGTCTCACACGATTCCAGCCATCACCTTGGACCACCAAGCCTTGATTGGTGTTGCCAGTTGTCCTCCTTCCAGGGAGGGATTTTGCAGTTCTTTGGCTGAAAGGAAGCTGTGTGTGTGTGTGTGTGTGTGTGTGTGTGTGTGTATGTGTGTGTGTGTATATCTCACACCCATGCATTGTCCTCTTTTTATTTAGATTGGCAGTGTAGGGAGTTGTGGGTAGTGGGGAAGAGGGTTGGGAGGGTTTCATTGTCTGTGAAGTGAGACCTTCCTTTTACTTTTCTTCTATTGCCTCTGAGAGCATCAGGCCTAGAGGCCTGCCAGGCCATGGGCAGCCTGTGTGTAAAACCTGGAGATGGTGGATGATCCCCACACCACAGCCCTTTTGTCTCTGCAAACTGCCTTCTTCGGAAAGAAGGAGGTGGGAGGATGTGAATTGTTAGTTTCTGAGTTTTACCAAATAAAGTAGAATCTAAGAAGAAAGGTACGTTTGTTTTTGCTTTTATTCACCCTGCCCAGCTATCCAGGACCTCAGGTATACTATTCCTAATTTACTGCGAACGTAGGCAGTATTCTACTGTTTATGGCAGCTGTTGCATTCACTTGCCCTTGCTGTTAGAACAACTCTTTTCAGGTAGTGAAAGTGAAGACATCTATACCTCTTCTTGATCACGTGATTGTTTGATGGGATCCCAAGGATGATGGGTTTAGAAATTCACTGGTCTTTTTGGTTGTCCTTGACACCATTTGATTCTTACTTGCCTCTGCCAGTAACCTGCTGGGCCTGGGCTGCCTTTCCTGGTTTTACAGCCAGCTGTGTGTGCAGTGTCTAGTCATCTAGCCTGCAGGCCACCTAGTAGCTTCTCATGTGCCTTCCAGCTGCTTGTTGCCACATGCCCTTTGAACCCTCATTTTGTTTCCTCTGATCTAATCAAGTGACCATTTGGTGCTTTTGGTTTGAAAATACAGCAGGAGTAGGGCACATATGGGTTCACTCTTCTGTCTGGCAAACAAAGCCTGTCTTCTTTTCAGCTCGGTGGGCCAGTGTCTGGGCCCACGTTTCTCCCAGTGATCCAGTGGGAAGAAAGGCTGCTCTGTCCCCACAGTGGAGTAGGGTTGATCCTAGGCATATTGGTGGCTCCTTTAAGACCAGCCTTTGATACAGTGTCAGGAAAATTGTGGTTACAAGTTCAAATTGTGGTTTTGAGAGATTCTAGCTTAAAAGGAAAAGAGCAAAGAAGCATCCCTGGTTTGAGGGTCTTCTGGAGGAAGTTTCCTTCCCTGAAGGAATTCCTTGTGTTTTACTACCCTTTTTTCCCCTTAGTCTTCTGAGAGTTCTGGGGGTGGGGGATAAGGTCTTAACAAAAAATAATCAGCATCTCAAAAACCACAGTTTGAACTGGAAACCTAACATTGTGATTTGAATTCTAAAAGTCATGGTTTGAATTTGAAAGGGCCTCCCCGCCCCAGAGGCCAGCTTTAATGAGGCAGGCAAGCAACAGTCTCCACATTGTAAAAATTTAATCCTAGGTGGGAGTGCTGACTATAAGGTGTCATGATCAGAAAGACTGGAATGTGTTGGGATGATCATTCTGGGGCACTTTCGTGGTCTGACCTGCAGCTGCTGAGACCTGCTATTGAAGAAGGTTGTCAATGACTTGTCTTGAATTTGGAGGCTTGTGGAGTCCTTGCTATGTTTTGCTGTTTTTTTGTTTCATACACTCTTGGGTATATTCACTCGGGATTGAATTCCAACTTCGGAAACTGATGTTCTGCTGCCATACTCCCACATCCCCTCTTAAAAACCATTAATCAGCTCTCTAGGGTGAAAGGTTGTCTTTGGAGCATGGCTCTAGCCAGCTGGAACAGCTCCATTCCATGTAGGCGCTGATGAGCTAGCATCACTCCAGGCCTCTGCACGAAGGGACCTTTGGGAGAATAATAGAAACACTGACTCATCACATGACCATTTGGAGGGATCACAAGCCAGAGGCCGTCATTCTGCAGCCAACAACAACTTGGATCCTCCACCCTCGGTGGAGGGTCCCTTTTGTTACCGAGAAACCACAAGCCACAGAAGTGGGGAAGGAACACAGGAACTGCAATCAAGGGATATGCCTGAACTAGTCTTGAACAATAGTAAGAGACTCTGTGTCCAAACTGAGAAACCTCAGGGTCAAACAAAAAGACAAGAAAAACAAAAACCAAACTAAAGGGGCAAATGTTGATAGGAGCAAGGTGAATGCCATAAGGTCACCACAACTTTATGGGGAAATGAAAGAAATGCCAAGGGCAGTTTGGACGTTATTTGGAGATTCACTAACAGGAATTTACTATGTATTAAGTATCCTGAATTCCTTAGGGTAGATGTGGGTTTTCTTCAAGCACAAAGTTGCATCTCAGCTATTGCAGCTGCTCTTTGGCCAATATGGAGCAAACTGCCAGAGAGTGAGTTTTACAGGGTGAGGTGGAGTGGGTGGGGCTCCATAATGTAGCTAAGAACAGAGGTAGCTGAGGTGTGCTGGAGTGTGAGAAAGAAGATGGCATGAAATATGGTAGTCATGTGGACACTTGTTCTGTGTATGCCTGTTGAAAATTTGGGTAGCTCCCCTAGGGCCAGGAAGAAAGAGCACCTATTTGACATTGGTGGTTTAGGGGCAGTGGAGGGGGAAAGTGCAACCTTCAGATGTTTGGGGAAAGAGAGAAAGATGCCTTAGGATTCTGAGAGTCCTTGGAACTCAGAATGGATATGATGGACGTGGCATTCATCTTATATTACAGAATATTTTGGCTCCTACTTGTTGAGAATATGTTGACTAGATTAGAAAATGGGCCAAAACAAACAAGGTGAGATAAAGCCTCAAGGTGAATGTCTGCAAAAATGTAGCCACACAGGTTCAGGTAGGAAGACCACTTGGCAGCTTGTGTTTAAATAACGTAAAAGCACAACAAAAAATGCCTGCGTTTTGTTTTTGTTTTTGTTTTTTTTTTTGAGACAGTCTTGCTCTGTCACCCAGGCTAGAGTGCAATGGTACCATCTTGGCTCACTGCAACCTCTGCCTCCCGGGTTCAAGCAATTCTCCTGCCTCAACCTCCTGAGTAGCTGGGATTACAGGCACCCGCCACCGCGCCCAGCTAATTTCTGTATTTTTAGTAGAGATGGGCTGTCACCATATGGCTAGGCTGGTCTGGAACTCCTGACCTCAGGTAATACACCCGCCTTGGCCTCCCAAAGTGCTGGGATTACAGGCCTGAGCCACCACACCGGGCCACCTGCAGTTTTTCTTTACTGCAAACTCAGTGTGTCATAATTAACATCATGGGGTTGCCAAAAGTAATATTAGGGTGCATTAGTAAATATGTTGTCTGCAGGAAGGAGGCATGAGTCCAGGCCACCGCTGGTATGCCATGTCCATTTGTGGCCACCAATGTTAAGCACCTCAGTAAAGGCAGAGGTAGCAGGAAGGCTAAAGGACCTGGGATTGTTCAGCTGGGAAGTGAAGACACTTTAAAACACATGTGGTTCAAAACTGGATGGGCTGCTTCTTAACAGGTAGTGAGTTTCTTACCCCTGGAAGTATTTAAGCAAAATCTTGACTAATTGTGAGTGGCTAAGGGAAAGATTACTGCATGGAGCAGAAGGTAAAATCAGTTATCCTTTCAGCTTTCTCCCAGCGGGATGATTTTTATTTCCACGCACCCATTTCCGCACCCCTTCCTTACCTAAATCCCTACGCGGACCCCCAGTCTCTGACCACAGCCTGGGGCAGCTGCAGAAGGGGCAAAGAGGAGCGTTCCAGATCTGCTTCTGCCTCTCCACTGCCAACGGCGCCAGCTGCTTCATCGCCTTGCCACCAGCAGTCGGGAGGCCAGCCATCTGCCCCCTGGGTGCCCAGAGGAGGCCGGGGCTTCAAGAGTGGCTAGGGCCCCCGGCCAGGGAGCGGTTGGACCTACAGATCAGCGCACGTCGGCCAGGGGGCGGTTGGACCTACAGATCTACGCACTCCGGTGTTAGGGTGCAGACCTGCTGGCAGGCTGGGGGCAGGCCTAGAACTGCCCAGCGGCGCAGCGACCTGGCGTCCTGGGTTCGAATTTCCACGGTTCCCACCTCATGAAAACAAGGCGTCTCAGGTCCCACCGACAGGGGCCATGCCCGGGGCGCGCAGCCTCGGGCGCTAGCCTTATTCCTGAAGTCTGTTTCCTCCTGGGGCCTCGGTCTGACGCCCTCAGTCAGCGCTTCGCAGGAAGCCGACTCCCAAACCCGGGCAGGGGGTGTGGGCCAAGGGCGAAACCCCGCCCCCAGGGGTCCCTGATCTTTGCCCCGGCCCCGGGCTCGGCGCCTCTCGGAGAGGCATCAGCAGGCGGACGGCGTTGCCTTTGTGTGTTTCGCTTCGAGGTGCCGGAGACCCTCCCCAAAGCCGTCCGCCGCGTCCCCTCGCGGCCCTCGGCCCCTCCTCTCGGCGTCCCCAGCCCCCCTGCTCAGCTCCGCTTGCCAGTTCGGGAATTGCTGGTTCGCTCCCCGCGGCGCCAGAAGGAGGGGCGAGAGCCGGCAGCCCCCTCCCCCGCGCGCGGCGCAGGAGCTGAGCCCAGCCCGGGGGACCCGCCGCCGCCGGTCATGTGGGCCGGACTGCTTCTTCGGGCCGCCTGTGTCGCGCTTCTGCTGCCGGGGGCTCCAGCCCGAGGCTACACCGGGAGGAAGCCGCCCGGGCACTTCGCGGCCGAGAGGTAAGCGCCCCGAGCTCCTCCCCGCCCCCTCGCCCGGGAGAGCGCTACCCGCGTGCAGCCGAGAGGCGCGGAGCGGCGCCTAGCAGCCGCAGGCAGCCACGGGTCGGGGATTCCTCTGGGGTGCTATCAGCGCGGGCATAGCTCGGGGACGGGACAAAGAGACAGCAACTTGTGCCTCTAGGCGGGTGCTCCTCGTGCGCCCCTGGCTGGGGCTGTCCTGACTGGGACCTAGGGGGACGGAGGTCCAGGCGCTGGGTGACTCCTAATGTGCCCTGGAGCGCGGACCTCCGGAGAGGGGAGCCCAGGACGTGCCATCTGGTATCCGGACTGTCTGGCTCACCCCGCAGCGTGCCCATGGCTCTGTCTGGGCAGCGCCTGGCCTCCCCCACTGCGCGGGGCTTTCCCTAGGTCTTGGCCCTAAGAACGTCGTGGACCTTGGAACCGCAGGGGTCTCTGGGTCACCTTTCGTTTTCTGTCCGTGCGTGCGTGCGCGCGTGGCGGGGTGGGGGGTGGGGGTGCATGCCCCTCCGCCGTCTTTCGCGAGGAATGCCGCCCTCCACGCGTGCTTTCCCCCGGACTGCGGCGGCGGGGCGGTGAGCGTGTGTGCGTGATGCTCGGAGCTAGGGAACACGGTGTCAGCGGGCGGCCTGGCCCGCGGCCACATCCTCCGGGGGGCGCACAGCGGGGGCGGCCCGGCCAAGCTTGCAACTCGCACGTGTGTTCCACAGCCACCGCCAGTTCCTGCTCAGATCCGGCCCCGGCGCCGCAGCGTTCCACAGGCTCCCACCACCTGTCCCTCTGTCACCAGCCCTAGGAGGCTCCTTGGGGCAATCTGGCGGGTGCTCGGTCCCGGCTCACCTGAGAGTTCGACTCCATCAGCCTCCCTGGGCACCCTTTTATCTGCCGCGTTGGTGGCACTGCCTGTCAGTTTCTGAGAGTCCCAAGGCTCCGCTCATTCTCCTGGTCCCCTCCTTGTCAGACTGCTGCCATATTCACTCCAGCAAGGGGGTGGGTGAGGCTTCACTGCCAGCTCCCGCCAGCAGGAGGGCCCCCCTTTCCTCTGTGATGACCTCAGAGAGGGAAAAAGGCCCCAGGGACAGCTTTCCTCAGACTTTTCTGTGCTGCCATGGCGCCCTGAGCTTCCTTTTCCGGAATACTTGTCACATTTTGGCACAGATTCTTCTCCCCAAGAACGCGATAAGTTTGCCTTGTCCCATGTCCCCAGTGCCTGGTGCGGTGCGCAGCGCAGAGTGGGTGCTTTACAGAGTGCCTGCCTCACAGCATCGTCTTCCCTCAGCTCTCAACACTGGTGGAATACCGTTGGGAAGGGGTTTCTTGTCCCTTTTCTGTTGCGGTGGGGTTGGAAGCTCAAACCAGGCTGGATTTCATCACCCTCTGTCCAGTCCATGACTGGAGCTGGTTGCAGTTGTCCTCTCTGTCCCCCTCGAGGCCCTGCAGTTGTGCTGTTTCTCCTGCTGGAACACCCTCTCCCTTCCTCTTCTTTTGCTGGCTGCCCCACGTGTTTTTTTTGAGACAGAATCTTACTCTGTCACCCAGGCTGGCGTGCAATGGCTTGATCTCGGCTCACCACAAGCTCCGCCTCCTGGGTTCAAGCGATTCTTCTGCCTCAGCCTCCCAAGTAGCTGGGATTACAGGCATGCGCCACCATGCCCGGCTAATTTTGTATTTTTAGTACAGATGAGGTTTCCCCATGTTGGTCAGGCTGGTCTCGAACTCCTGTCCTCAGGTGATCCGTCCGCCTCAGCCTCCCAAAGTGCTGGGATTACAAGCGTGAGCCACCGTGCCCGGCCTGTATTTTTTTTTTTTTTTTTAAGTGGAGACAGGGTTTTGCTGGGTTGACCAGGCTGCTCTCAAACTTCTGACCTCAAGTTATCCACCTGCCTTGGCCTCCCAAAGTTTTCTCTCTGACCTCAGCCTAGATGCTGCCCTTCCAGGAAACCCACCGACCCTCCTCAGGGCTCCACAGCCCGTTCCATTATGGCATTTGTCACTCTATGCTGTTATCATCTGGCTCCTGGTCTGCCCTACGTTCCTTGAAGGCGGGGGCAGTAGCTTGTTTATGGCTGTATGGTCACGCCTCACTCAGCACCCAGCACCAGTTGGATGCATCTGGCTTCCCACCCTTTCTGGACCTCATTCCTGGTTGAACAGACCCCCACTGCCTCCAGTTTTGGGCGGCTCACTGATGACCCCACACCCACTCCAGAGATGTCACCTATGCCATTGCCCTTCTCAACCTTTCCCTCAACAGCCATTTATTGAACACCCACTATATGCCAGGCACTGCTCTGGGTGCTGGGGTAAATAGATAAGAAACCCTTGTCATCAGGGAATTGTAGGGGAGACAATGAATTCATAAATTAAAAACTAATCTATTGTCCCAGGAAGTAAATGTTGTGGAGAATAAAGCAAAGTAAGGGTCGACAAGGAAGGCCTCTCTGAGAAGGTGCCTTGGGCAGAGATCTGGGTGAAGGGAGAGAGGGAGCCCAGTGTGTGTCTGAGGAAGAATCTTTCTTTCTTTCTTTCTTTTTCGAGATGGTCTGGTTCTGTCACCTAGGCTGGAGGGCAGTGGCACCAACTTGGCTTGCTGCAACCTCTGCCTCACAGGCTCAAGCCATTCTTCCACCTCAGTCTCCCAAGTAGCTGACCCTACAGGTGTGCGTCACCATGCCCAGCTAGTTTTTGTGGAGACGAGGTTTCGCCATGTTGCCCAGACTGGTCTCAAACTCCTGGGCTCAAAATGGTCATCCTGCTTCGGCTTCCCAAAGTGCTGGGATTACGGGCATGAGCCACTGCACCCGGCCGTAAGAACCTTTCTTAGAGCAGGAACTGTAAGTGCAAAGGTCCTGAGGCAGCCACCCCTGGGGCTCCTCATCCATTGCACAGCCTTTCTTCAGCTCTGAGGCCCCTCTCCTGGCCACTCTGCTGTGTGTTCATGTGGCAGATGTCTGTAGGAGGCCAGTATCTATTGTCTCACACTTGTCTGTCTTACCTCCCGGAGAGACTGTCTGGGTCATTTTTCTTTGGCACTTCCCATTGCCCCTCCGGACAGTTCTTGAGAACTGTTCGTTGATTGACTTACAGACTGGCTGGGAGACTTTCCTGTTGACCAATGTCTCCTTTAGTATAGGATGAGGAAAGTGCTTTCTCTTCTCTTGCAGACGCATGCTGGGCCCCCACGTCTGCCTCTCTGGGTTCGGGAGTGGTTGCTGCCCTGGCTGGGCGCCCTCTATGGGTGGTGGACACTGCACCCTGCGTAAGTGCTTGTCCCTGTGCTCCAAGCCTTCTCCTCCAGCAGTGTGTGTTGCCAGCCCTCAGTCCCTGGTCCGAGGGGCAGACGGGGGTCCCCAGTCCCTTGTCTCTCACCTGCACTTCTCCTCTCAGCCCTCTGCTCCTTCGGCTGTGGGAGCGGCATCTGCATCGCTCCCAACGTCTGCTCCTGCCAGGATGGAGAGCAAGGGGCCACCTGCCCAGGTAACTGGGGATGGGCAGTGGCTGATGGGAACAGATGAATGAGCACTGAGATTATGTGCTGGGCAGTGAGCACTTGAGATGGGTCCTGGCATCTCAGCTTCAGACAACTCTATTAGGTAGACATTTTGTGCCCATTTTATAGATGAAGAAACTGAGACACAGAAGTTATTGTCTTGCCCCGGGTCACACAGCTGGTAAATGGCAGAGCTGGATTTAAACCCAGGCCTGTTTGCCTTCAGAGCTACTCCCAACAGAATTCAGGAGGATCCTGGTGAGGTGGGGGTGGCTGGGACTGCCACAGGGTGCACGCTTACCCATGCGATGCCTGCTCTAGAAACCCACGGACCATGTGGGGAGTACGGCTGTGACCTTACCTGCAACCATGGCGGCTGTCAGGAGGTGGCCCGAGTGTGCCCCGTGGGCTTCTCGATGACGGAGACAGCTGTTGGCATCAGGTGTACAGGTGAGACCTCTGGGAGTGGTGGGGGAGGGGGACAGCGGGAATTATATCTCCTCCCCATCCTGCCAGGATGGTCTCCAGTGTATTGCAAGAGCCAGGCTGAGCCAAGATAGGCTCTGATGTATCAGAGTGGGCAGAGAGACATAAAAACAAGAGAAATGTGTCACTTCTGTTATCTTACAAATATATATATATCTTAGGGGCAGGAACTGAGCCAGGGACTGCGGTTATGGGAGCCACAGTCTGTCCCTGTTAGGGAGTTTTTTTTTTGCTTTTTTTTTTTTGAGACGGAGTTTCGCTCTTTTGCCCAGGCTGGAGTGAAGTAGCATGGTCTC